TTCAGTCTCTCTACCAAACCCCAGAAAGTTTCACTTACATATGGCAGTCAGGCACTGAAACATGATGACTCACCGTCATTTTTAGGAGTTACCTTTGACCCAAGACACATGGAGAAAACAGATAGAAAAGACACAGAGCAAAGGACTCAAGAGAACACAACTGATGAGGAAGTTAGCTGGAACAGACTAGGGGGCAAACCTCAATGTCCTTAAGAGGACCTATACAGGCTAAGTGAGGCCAACACTAGAATATGGAATAGCTGCTTGGGGCACAGCAGCTAAATCAAATTTTCAGAAAGTCTCAAAGATCCAAAACCATGCTCTCCGTATTATGACAGGGGCAATGCGCTCCACCCCCATATCAGACAGGGAAACAATTACTGGTCTCCATGATCTGGAAGATAGGAGAGACACAAAGCTCCTCACCCAGCTCTCCTAATACCACCATTTTAAAGAACAACCCATGCACAGCCGACTGCAGAAACCCAGAAGGCTAGACTTAAGAGAACCTGTTTTATTAGGAACGCAAATGCCAGGCTCGCTGTCCTTAAACTCCCTCCCATGACACCAAATGTTCCACTTAAACCTTACGACTGCCCCCCTTAGCTTAGGGATAGCCTACCAATAGTCAGAACCACTGTAACAGGGATCTCTTCCAAATCATCAATGAGCAGCACTGACATGAAATCAACTACAGAAGGAGAGATCAATAGACTTTACCCACACCAGAGTTGGATTCGAGTGTATACAGATGGTTCAGCCAAGAGAGCAGTAAGAGACGGAGGAGGAGGAATATACATAGAATGCCCAAATGGTGTAAAAATCAACCAGGCTGTACCAACAGGTTCATATTCCTCCAATTACAGAACAGAGGCAGAAGGCAGGTTCTTTCCTGAATGGACAACAGCACAGCAAATATAGCAGAGTGGTCTTTCTGACTGATGCTATGTCAGTTCTACAAGCAATTGTTAACCCAAAAGACACTCAGTTCGTAGACTTGACACAACAGCTGATTTACTTAGGCTCTTCAGTAGAACAATCTGTACTGCAGTGGATTCTAGGTCACTGTGGCTTGAAAGGCAATGAAATAGAGGACAGATTGGCCAGAGCGGCAGTGACATGGTACAACCAAATAGTGACTTAATCCACCAAGAGATGAAAACATTAATACATTATAGTATCCAAGAAAGGTAGCTGGATACCCACACCAGCTTTTCTCCCCAAGACTCACTTCATCGCCTCTCTAGAGAGGGACAGGGTATTATATTCAGACTAAGGACTGGGCACAACAGATTTCGTCAACATATGTTCAAATTTTTCGGTGTAGGAAATACGGAGATGTGTCCCTGCAGCGTGGCACCCGAAAATGCTGAGCATGTGCTCCTAACACTGTCAACTGTATGCTGACAACAGAGACGCAATCTGGCCTGTTCCAACCACACTGAAGAACAAAACTGTATGGTACACAAGAGGATATAGATTGCACGATAGCTTTCATAAGGCTACCGGCCTCCTGATATAAGTTTTCTGACAGAAGGATCGAAGAAGAAGAGGAAGAAGAAGATAAGCGTTACCTGTTTTGTTAATAACTTGTTATACTGCTGCAGGATATCATTCTAGCTAGTCTGGTTAGCTGATAACTTCAATTATAAGTATAATTTTTTGTGTAAAGTTTACTTTGTAATTTATGTTTTTGTTTTAAATAATAGTTCTCTACATTATCTATTCCGTCAGTCAGTAGCCTGTCCTCTGCAGAACCTTGCTCATATAATAAATAATCATCTGGAAAACGTCTCAATCACGAGCGAGATGTCCCACGTCCGATACACCCGTCTGGAGATCATCCACTCTATCCTGCATCCATTATCTCTTTGGCCGTCCTCTTCCTCTCTTCTCATGCATATACCCCTCCATTATTGTTTTCTTTAGACTTTCGTGAAGTTTCAAGTGACCATAATATATTCCATTTTCTGTGTTTTATCGTCTTTAATAGCCATCCTTCTTCATTATAAAGTTCTTGAAGTATGGATGTATTTGTTCCTATCTTTACCCATTATATTTTTTGAACACGTCTATAACATTTGTATTCGAACGCATTTATGCGACGTTCCGCTAGTTTAGTAAGTGTCCAGGTCTCACAGGCATATTTTGCAATGGAAAAGATGCATGCTCTTAGAAATCTAATTTTTGTAGTTCTGCCTGTCCCACTCCATAATTTATTTAGTTGTTTTAGTCTTTGAAGAGAAATTCATATTTCTCGTTTTATTTCTCTCAATTTATAATCTATTATTATTATTTATTATGACATTGTTATCAACTATTATATTTTTTTATAACACGCGTCTGTCTATGCGATGATTATGTTTAGGAGACTTAGAAGTCTTCTTGTAAAAGAAAAATAGACAAAGAAAACGTGCAAAGATTCTTGACAACCTTTCGTCATTGCGTGGAGGGAAGTCAACACATAAAATCATATATACTGGTGGAGATTGTATGTTGT